GAAGGTAGGTAAACCCTTACACAAATATTGTTTATGTTGGCCTTATTACATGTAGGATATATATTTTTAAACAGGATAGGGTTATTTGGTCTGTAGATAATTGGGTTGGGTATCCAAGTTTAACAAGTCTTTTCTGAAACTGAAAACCAACTTTGTAGTAATCAATATATGGGTGTCTATTGTGGCATCCTATGAAATTCTTCATCTGAATTTAAATTTGACTATATGTTTAAAAAGAGTAAGAAACCATATACTGCACTGATGTGATTGTGAGGTCATTTGCCTATGTAAAACTTAATCAAGTGATAATCTTATGGTTTTTCTTGACCTTTAAAAAAGAAAATAGAAGTGCATATGATGATGATAATTTCCAGTTTTTCCAGTTGTATTTTTAGATCTTGTATAATAAGAGTAAGAATATTTATAGTTTATGATATGATTTAAAATTAAGAAGATTCGTTATGATCACCAATGAGTCAACTCTCTACCAGAGACCAAATGATTTAAAAGTTAACAACTATAGGTCACTGTACAGCCTTCAACAATGGGCAAAACCCATACTGTATAGTCAACTATAAAAGGCTCCGAAATGACAAATATAATACAATTTAAATGAGACTTGACAACCTGAAATTAAGCGATAATTACTAGTGATTCTTCATAACTGTGCACTTTTTAAATGCATATTACTCCCTTATGGTTCAAGAATATACGACACAAATACAGCATAATATAAACAACAGAAGTCTTCTAGTAATGGACTTCTGATAACATACATGAAAGATGAAATGATTTAGTTCTTCTCATGTTAAATACTATGTTCACCTGATTGACAAAAAAATATTTGTAATTAAATTGTTGAATTTTAGGATAACAAACATATATCTGTAAAATGGATCTCAGAATTCCAAGTCCAATATTGAAGATAAAAATCAATGAATGTATATGACTGAAATAGCTGTGCTATTTTTACCCAACTTGATTACAACAAACATGACAAATAAGTTAGTTATTTTGAATTTCCCACCACAAACATTGACCCATAACACCCTTATCATGTGATCAAAGAATCTGTGTAGGTATTACTATTAATAGGTATTGTGCCTGGCAACAAATGGGTCAGTGATTGTAACCTTTCATCTGATTGGCTGACAGTATTAAAATTAGCAGATTGTGATCATGTGATGTAAACAAAAACAGCTGATAACAGCATGGCCGTTTAAATTGAATAACAATGGAGAAAAATACCAAATTATGGTGTGTGAAGGATTAAATAGTTATTCTTGTATTGGACATAATGAAAGTATGTTAGCTTGTTAATGTAAAATTTATCTTCCTACATTTCTTTAAACAATTGGCAATTTTGTTGGTATGCCTGGTGGTTTTATTATGTTTTATTAAGTTTAATCTGTATCTTTTCCTTGTGTACTTTCTTTGTTTCTTATAAAAAAAAATTTATTGTTATGCCCCTAAAGTAACTTCCTCGAGGAAGTCCTTACATGTATTAGAAGATAATGCCACTTACTGTTTTCTTGAAAGATTTTTATTGTAGAAAGGTTTGTTTATTTATGTTAAACAAGTGACAAATTACTACATTGTTTAATTAACATGTGATGTACATGTTGATCAAAAGTTTTTAAACTATTTGTAAATAAGTCAAAGTGTGAACAAAATAATATGTAATCCATTCTTTCAATTTTGACAAATGAAGACCATGAGTACCATTCTGTATTTTTCTTTAATGCCTATGATTGCATGTGCACCTCAGATCTATACAATATAGTACAATTTTACTCAATGTAGAAAAGATATATTTTCAAAATAAAAACTTCTTAAATGTGGTAAGCAATTGGTGTTTCCTTAAATGTGGTAATTGCATATATAATTTTACAATGTATGTTGAAATTGAACAGTTCAAATGTTTTGGTTTCATATATGTGATGGATTTACCTACGACTTGGAAGACATCTAGATCAAATTTAAGCCTGCTGTCACACTTTCAATACACAACAAAAATGAATAAGAAAACATAAGTTACTTTACCAAAGATGTTAAGTTAACTATTGATTGTCTAGTGATTTTTCTTATTTAAGGTACATGTAATAGTCTCCATCTATTTATGCCCCGGCGTAGCTGAGAGAGCATTAAGGTTTACCCTTGTCCGTACATATTCCCTAAATTGGTTTCTGTTCTCTAACTTTAGTTTGCCTCAACCAGATGTTATGAAACTTGTACACAATGCCCTTCATAAATGGAAAAAATGCTGAATTTTTCGTTTCTGTTCTCTAACTTTAGTTTGCCTCAACCAAATGTTATGATTTTTTTCGTTTCTGTTCTCTTAACTTTAGTTTGCCTCAAAGAAATGTTATGAAACTTGTACACAATATTTATTACCATAAAATACAGATCAAGTTAGATTTTGGGTGTCATCACTTCTACAGTTCTCTAATGTCTCTTTATAACGTTATATGCATGTGGGGGGCATCATATGTGTCCTATAGACACATTCACCATTTATTTGTTTCTTGTATTCTGTAGGGGTGATGGGGGCATTTTTAACTACTTACTTGCCAATTCTGTTGAAAAAATCAATTGATAAAATTCAAAATAACTTACTTATTGGAAAAATATGATTTAATTTTGGATAAACAGAATTGCCCATTACATATTTTTAAACATGTTCCAAAGAAGAGGAAATGTATATATTATAATTACATGTATGTATCTATTTGCTTATAAAATTTCTCTTAAAATTATTAATGAATATGGGAAAATATGTTGCCTCAGCTGCTGAGGAAAACAATATGTAACATTTGTTTAAGTCATTGAAAATCCTCTTAAAATGCCTACAAGTGCCAGAATGGTGAAGAGGCTAAGTGAAAAATCATTCAGAAAATCTATTTATAACTTTAACTATTTCTAATCGCCTTTGAATGAGATTTTTTGTGAAAGTATGAATGACTTGGATGAGGGAGGCGTATAGGAGTTAGTAACAATGAGAGTCTATGTATATTCATAGATATGTAAGTATGATCTAAGGCCAATGGCAGAGGAGATTAGCTCTGATGAACCAATAGTAAACAACCAAAGCATGAATAATTTTACCTATAAACAACATTCCCAGATTGTGTTACTAATTATAGACTAAGTAAAATGTGAACTTTGATGTTGCAATAAAATGATAAAATGAAGATAGAGAAAAATAAAATGAAAAAAATTGAAATCTTATAATGCTAAAAATAAATAGAAGCAGTAAAAATTCTGAAATGAATAATCAGTTTGATGCAAAATTATATAATCATATAATCTTTTGACGTCATATACATGTATCTAAGTGAAGATGTAGATATAAAATATTTAAGGGAATTGAAATTTATGATGACCCAATAATTATGTATTCATATTGATCTTATGTGATGTTTATGTTTAAATAGAAATATGATATAAAGTACATGATAATGTCCATATCAATTTAAATTTTATCAAGATTATCTATGAAAACACCATATTTATTCCTCATATTTCCATCTGCAACAAGTAAAAACCTGAATTAATCAAAGATAAAAAAATCATTAAATTGATACATAATTGATTAAAGTGACCTTTAACCTTTACCTGTAAATCATTTAATTCAGATTTGAACCTGTTCAACTTGATACCCATAATGCTTTGTTTTGTTTTTATTGTGGAAGTTTTGTTATATTGGTGATCAAAATTTGTGAATTAATGTTAAAAAAAAGATTGACAATTGGAGCTGTTGTAAATTTTTGTGTCACCTATATTATGGTGATAATATAGTCTGATACATTTAAATACTTTACTTAAAAAATGAGGGAAGATTGTATACATGTTAGATCATGCTTTTCCCACCTGTGATTTTTACCTGGAGTTAATGAATTTTTATAAAAAGGATATATTTTCACTGCTGTAAAGGTAGGAAATTTGTTAAAAATGTCAATTTATGTAAACTCGACAAATAATTAATTACAGGTAAAATGTCTTGAAAGGTGTATATGTTAATTATGTATCACAGGTGTTCTTCATTCATGTCTAAACCATTCAAGTGAAACACAGTGGGTATTCTAACAATACATACAAATACATAACACATTTTCAAGATATTTTGTCTTTTGAAATGGCTACTTTTACATGGTAACATAAAAAAAGAAGGTCTGAGTGGAACTTGAAGGATATAGCATGAATGGGGTGCCATGTTAATGCAACAGAGAAAATTGTCTTGAAGTGCAATTTGAACATACACCCCTCCCAAGTCTCATTATATTGTTGCTGCAAAGACATATACATCAAAAGTTCTGGTGAGTTAATATTTACAGATAGGTAAAGCTGAATGGGTTGGGGAATAGAAATATAGTCCATATGAGATAAACATTTTCAGTGCAGAAAATCTCTAATTTTTGCATTTGGCCAAAATGTTTAAAAGTGCATTTATTAAGGTAAATTGAAGCAACTTTTAGCATGTTTAGTAAGCAAATTTGCCAGAAAGTGAAGAAGTTTGTAGTTCGATCCTTTTGAAAAACAGCATTTTCCAAGGGATAAAACTCATAAATTACCAGGTACATATATTCAGAAAATTGCTTTAACCAAAAGTTTGTATGTAATCATTTGCACTCTGTAATATTTTCCCTTGAATCAAAAATAAAAAAATATCTGCACAGTAAATTTATATTCCATTTGGGGTATTTTATCCCAAACAGGATATTATAGCCCATTAAGGTAATTGTCCCCAACCTGCTGAATGCATGTTTTATCAACAATCCAAATAAACTGCTCTGCTATTAATCTGATGGTCTGATATATATGTGGTGACTACTATTATTTTTCAATACACATATAAAGTTGTTCAGACTGCTGTGCTTGAGGTTTTATTGTATGGCTATGCTCAGTGTTATAAGGCTGAAGCCTCGGGTATGTTCAGTAGAGTTGATACAAAAAAAATCATGTATATCAGTGAATTGTAATAAGTACTTTGTTTTTTGCAGGTCAGCTGTCTAAAGTTCGCCATGACCCAGGAATGGTTTACAGGCAGCTAGCAGGAGCAGCTGACCATATTGAAATCATGGCTGATGCCCTGCAGCAACAGCAAGAGGTAGCAGCCATGCAAAACAGAATACCAATGACCTTCCGAGAACCTAGCAATGCTCCGCTTAGAAAACTCAGTGTAGATCTGATAAAGACCTACAAACACATAAATGAAGTAGGTATTTCTCTACATGGCTCATAATTGCTTCTCTTATTTGTAAGAACATGATTACAGGAAGAATCTGAATCATTCGGGTATCAAGTACTTAGAGGTGTTAAAGAACGAAAATCACAAATTTCAGTCATTACAAAAGTGTGGATTTTTATATTTATAAAATTACTTTGACTGTGTCTTGAAATTTTAATTATAATCCTCCATGAAAGGTATCCAAAGCGCAAGAATCATGTCACACATTGGTATGAAAAAACATGACTGGAATAAAGAAATTAACCCATGCACAAAGTTATGCAATGTATTTCTCTGTTAAAGGCAGCATATTGAAAAGGCCAATGTATAACTAGATTTACTCCAAAATTGTCCTCGTTTGATGACAAAATTCAAACATCCTATGTCTTCAGCCTCTTGATAAAGACATTAAACGGCTTCTTTTGGTTCATGTTAAACATGTACATACATGTATGTAGGTTTTGTAAATGCATCTTGCATAGTCTTAAAAGCATCAACCCTTATATTTTCAACACAGTTTTGGTTTTCATTAATGTTCACTATGTACTCAAACTTTTTTTGTCATACCAATGTTTGCAGTGATTCTTGTTCTTTGAAAATCATTCATGGGGGTGGGGGCATATCAATTTGATGTGGATGGTACATTGTAATATCGCAAATAAGCTTGCAGGGCCTATGGTTTTCCTAAAGCACTGTTTCAATTTATGGGCAGTAGGTCAGAAAGCAAAAGAAAATTAATGCAAGTAATCTAAAACATCATGGGACTGCTATCAGAAATACTTGAGCAAGTGCCTGACTGAAAATACATGTATCATGAAACATTCACTAAATATTTTTGAGGATGATTGCCTTCTGAACAGTTATTCTTAGTGGCTTTCTGGCCAAGTTTCTGATAGCTGTCTATGTATTTCAGCATGTCTACCATACAGCAACTCTACAATTGATTTTATTTATATGTAGATTGCATATTTAATATTTAAAATTTAATTTTTTAACCAGAAACATAAAATTTCTGTCTGTACCCATTTCTGTCTGTACCCATTTCTGTCCTCCCAAATATCTTGTTATGCTGTAGTGACAAAAGAAAATCTAGGTCTATAACACTGCAAGTTATGCAAAAGTAATTTGGACTTTTCATATTTTTATGTTCAGAAATTATTTTGGGTATTTTAATTGATACAAAAAACAAAATAATCTGTCTGCATCAAGAATTGCTGCTACGCTTCCAACTAGTTTAGATTTAACATTTGTTATTTGTCAAAAGGACAAATGAATCGAAGCAAATTTGTATTGTTTTCTCCTTTCTATTGAAAAGACAGCTTTTGAAGTGCAATGGTTCCTTGTTCTTTAGTTCAATATGATACAGAATACATGTTGTAGATACAAATGTAGGAGAAAGGAAAGTGAATATTTGAAATACCTATTACACAATGCTCCAGTAATAATGAAGATTACTATCGACATCCATTTGATATTAAGATTACACAATGCAGTACTAGTACTATGCTAATTAAAAATCAGACACACAAATATAAGATTATTATGTAATCTTGGTAGTCTTTAAAATGAAACTAGGGTTATAGCTTTGTATGTTGTTTTTTTCATGTCAAAAGACAAAAACAGACATGCATGAAATTTTTTGGAAAGTTTAAGAACGTAAAAAAAAGTCAAGAGTATTGTAGAAATGTGGGGTAAAGAAATGAAAAAAATCAAACCAATGTAAGAAATATAAAGACCTGAAGGAGTTTGTTCTCTTTCTGAAAAGAGCTATAGGGCACTTAATTTGAAAAAGTGATTCTGTAGATGATAGTAAATATCCTAGAAATGTTTTATTGAGTGAGGTACCTCTTATGTTTATTGCTGATCAATATTGTCTGCTGTTGGAATGTGTTTCCATGGCAACCAGACTACACAGACGAGATTTTCAGAAAATGGCAAAATATCTGAATGTGATAGGTTTATAATAATCCTTTGCCGACACCATATACATATAAATGTTAAGTATAATGTCCAGCATATAATTACATTTTGCACAAATGTGCCGGTCAACACACTCAGAAATAAATTTAAAAAAAAATGATATGATACCAGGGATAAACCATTAAACTTTTTTTCATGTTTGATCTTATATATTTTAAAGAGTATTGTTATGTAATTTTCCTGCTGTCATTTAATTGTTAACAAGACAATAAGTGTAAAGTTGTAAAAAGCTAATATTGGTTTTTAAGCCTTTTCATTGAGTTTACCTTTGCAAGCTTGCACAGGTTAAACAGGAAAATGATAAAATTTGCATATCAGATACTTGCATATTCATGCATTGATATTTGAAGGTCAAAACAGTTTATCTTGCAAAATAGCTGTCAAAATTATTCTGAATCATGAAGAGGAAATTCCTCCAAAAAATGATTTTTAAATAAGGAAGATGAAATAAAGTTCTTCTGTTTATTAGAACTCCTTTTGATCATCTGCCAAACTTAATGAGATTTTATAAATAAATTAGTATTCATTTGTTAATTATACAGCATTAAACCACAACAATCAAAGACAATATTTTGATTAGGATATTGATTAGGTGACAGATTACCTGTGTTTAATGTCATGTCATATGGTGTACTAATATCTGGTGACCATTAATCATTTTTGAAAACAAGAAGACATATTTGGAGAGAAAAAAAACTTAATAAAAAAGTCTATTGATTCCTTACATGAAGATTATAATAATAATACCATGTTTTCATTAGGAGCCAGAATCTCTCTCAGTAGACTTCTACTTAATGGTTTTGGCCAGCGACATTTCTGTCAGTTATTATAGTTGCCAATAGAAATAGGCTAAACCATTCATTTTTCTTTTCAAAATGGGCCTGTTCTTTAAAAAATAAGGTAAACACTGACAATATAATATGGTGTTCAATGTGCAAAGTGTTTTATACATAAACAATAGCCTTAAGGGGAATTTGTAGTAAAACACAGAGAACAAGGATATATAAATACAAGGTTCATTGTTTAATGTTTATATTAACATATATATCTATTATTTTATTTTTGATGCATTCTAAGAACTACATTAAAAGGATGTTCCAAGAATTCATAATAAAATTAATAATTAATGCAAGTGTTCTTAAAATTTATAATTGAATACATTTTGACCAGTATTTTGTGGGACAAACCCCCAATTGTGCATGTTGGTGGTGGTCTAATATTTTGAATATAAGTATGAGCATGTTATTATAGTACAATAAGAAGTTGTCACTTTTTAGTAATTTTGTTTTGGTCTTAGTAGGTCATTGATATATTTCATTTAACATTTCACTATTAATATTACAGGTATACTATGCAAAGAAGAAGCGAAGAGCACAGGGCCATGGAGATGAAAGTAGCACAAAAAAGGGGAAAGTAAACGTGCATATTTATAATGATGGTTATGATGATGCTAATCACGATTATATAGTCAATCCGGGAGAAAAATGGATGGACAGATATGAAATTGATTCTTTAATAGGCAAAGGATCTTTTGGTCAGGTAAGCATTTTAAGAAAAGAAAAAAGAATGTTTTAGCAACAGGAGTTGTGAGAATCTGAATAGTATGGAAATATCATTTCTGACAAGCAAGCTTTATTGCTGAAGGCATATTTGTAGGTCTTTAGGCATACAGTAAGAAAATGTATACATGCATATAATTTCGTCAAGTTAGTTTTCAAAACTCTGTAGTTCAATAATAATAAAAAAAAAAAATCAAAGAAAATTGAATAATCACAGGTTGTCTCAACTTTTTTTTTTTTACCTTGTACAAAGAATTGACTAGTAGAATATGAGGAAGGATATTATATTGTTGGTAGTCATAGACAACAGATCAACACCAGAGGACCCAGGGGATCATTTGAATTCTATATTAATTTGATTGCCATCTTTCTTAAGTGGAAAGAACAGTGTACTTGATTGGTTGAAGATATTTATTGCTTCATCCAATGAGATTTATTGGTATCAATACCATAAATTGTAGACCAGTTAATGTTTGTGAACAGGAGATGCCCAAGATAGCTGTAATATTATATGTCAGTAGAATATGCATCGGTACAAAATTGTGTATTTGGTGCAGAAAAAATATAAAAATTATTGACGTCATAAGATATCCACCTTTAATATAAAAAAATGAATTAATAGATAGAAATTATCTCAGTAGTACATTTTGTAGCAAACACATTGAGTGTGGGAGAGATAAGGTTTCTATTTAAAGTCTGACAAAAAGAGTATCATGTATTCATGTGAATTAAAATCTTCTGAACTTGTATATAAAAAATCCCTCATACCATGTGCATGATGTTGGTTTAGTACAAACAAGTTCATATACATATCACAACACTGTTCTTATCTCATATTTGAAAGATTGATAGACATCCATCCAAATCACATATAGTTTCGAAAGTGGGTTAAATTACAATAATTTTAACCAAAAATGGATCAATATACTACTGTTATTTCAGAAATAATTTCAAAATAAATTAACAATAGATCAAATAAATTTTTACAGAAAGTTTGATGGAGGAATGGTATTAAAAAAGACATTTCCCTTGCAGAGAGAAGAACCTTTTTCTTTAAATTCTTGTATACTCAAACAGAAATGTATGATTATATCTGTTATAAATTACAGGTTGTAAAAGCCTTTGACCATGGAGACCAAGAGCAAGTGGCAATCAAGATTATAAAGAACAAAAAACCTTTCCTGAACCAGGCCCAAATAGAAGTCAAATTGTTAGAGTTGATGAATAAACATGATAAAGAAAATAAGTACTATATAGGTAAGTAATGAATAAACATGATAAAGAAAATACGAACTATATACTGTAAATTCAGAAATTTTTGCGAGGTTTTTATTAATGCGAATAATTCGACTGGGTGAGTATCGCAATAATAAGAACTCGCATTTTGATATCTTATACATATATCTGTATGCAGATTTTCCTTAAATCGCAATAATTAATCTCGCATTTTTGTCCATTTTTAAAAAATCGCAATAATAAATGCACGCAATAATTTCTGAATTTACAGTCGGTTAGTATCATTGAATACACAGTATGGAACAAAACAGGTTTATATGGGTGGTGTAGAAGAAGTAAACTGTAATCAGTTGTTTCAACCATTTATTTTATTTGTTTGAGTTACTACTAAACACAAGCAGTTAAATCAAAGGCAATTTGAAATTGAAAAAAATATGTATGAGAATCAATACAAACAAATAAGATATGACATACAGTAAAAACTTCTTCGGAATATCTACAGCCAGAAATCTCACTAAATCTAGTTTTGAGTGAAATGAAATTGTGAAGTTTTTATTACACTTTTGGCATAAACAGGGTGGTTATTCATCATTGAGCATATTCTGATCAAGCATTAAAAACACTTTGCTATTTAATTTGGACACATTACAGTCAAGATTTATTGAACCTGGTTTTGCGAGCTGTCATTTATAGAAACATCAAAATGGAAGAAAATTTATTGTTATTCGTGAGAAAAATGATTATATCCTCTTGGAATATTGTATAGCTGATACGGAGTAAAAAATAATATTGTATTGTGAAGTTGGGATTGGAGAAAGTTAAGCTATCTATATATATATGGGTCTCCTACAAGATTTGACCATGACATATATCATTTATGATTAAAAATGATCTTTTTTTATTTTTCAGTAAAATTGAAGAGACATTTCATGTTTAGGAACCATTTATGTTTAGTGTTTGAACTTCTATCATATAACTTGTATGATTTATTACGGAACACAAACTTTAGAGGTGTTTCATTAAATTTGACTCGTAAATTTGCTCAACAATTGTGTACAGCTTTGCTGTTTCTAGCGACGCCTGAACTAAATATTATTCACTGTGACTTGAAACCAGAGAATATACTTCTGTGTAATCCTAAACGTAGTGCAATCAAGATAGTGGATTTTGGAAGTTCTTGTCAATTAGGTCAAAGGGTAAGTCTATTTATGTTTCTTATGTCAAAAATACCTTATATTTATAGACAGAACAAATATTGTGCATAATGGGTTTTTTTTTTCCAATTTCAAACACTACTGTGGATTCATTTACTTTCGTGGGTATCAATTTTCGTGGATTGAGGAAAACTTGCATTTTCGTGGATATTTGATTTTGTGGTTTTGCCAATCTCTGCTTACAAAGCTTATAGAAAATTTTTAATTCGTTGAACATTTGAATTTGTGGTTCACCTGTACCCACAAAACCCACGAAAATTGGTATCCAACGAAAAATAATTAATCCACAGTATAACAAGGCAAAGCATATATGAATTGATGCTCAAAACAAGATGGAACGTATAGACAGGGAACATATAGACAAGACATTATATGAATAAATAATAATCATTTGTCAATCCACCAGTAATGAATTCAGATGAACATATAGATATGATAAATGTTCATGACAAAATTTAGACAAAACAGTCAAGATTTGGATGACCATTTCTTGATCAAATTAAAGTTAACAAGTTCAATTATATTGCATACTAGACACTACTGGTTGGAAAAAATCACAAACAATCACCACAATATGACAATGCTTTTATTTTAAAGTGCACATTCTGTCAGTCTTCACCAAAATCTATTTCCAACTACTAGTCTGAAGACCAATATTCCGACATTTTTCTTACGGATCCAAACAAAGTTTTGCAAATACAAGTTTGAAACAATTTTACCAATCTGGGACATCAGACTAGTGATTATCGGTGCAGACTGTTCTGTTTCTTTTACTTTGATTATTTTGTTTTAAAAGAACAATTACTAATATTATATGGTTTTATTTCTAGATTTATCAGTATATACAGAGCAGATTTTACAGATCACCTGAAGTGTTACTAGGCATTCCATATGATTTAGCTATAGATATGTGGTCATTAGGTTGTATATTGGTAGAAATGCATACAGGAGAACCATTGTTTGCTGGCTCCAATGAGGTAATTGCAACATACAATATAAGGGAGATAAATCTTAATATTTTATGAAACTTAAAGAGTAATATTTTATATTGTTCCTAACTATGACAATCACTTTTGAATGTTTCGTGAATTTTAACTACTCCGAACACAGCTGTAACTTCGAACTCAGTTCTGTGATCCATACTTGTATAAAGTTGTTCATTTTCCTAACATGATTCATTTAGTAGTGACACTTCAAGATTTAAGTTTAAAGAATCTTTTTTGAATAGCAATATTTAAAGATTGATACACGATCTGGCAACAGCATGGCACTCTTATCACAAGAAAAGTGTAAATAGAAAATTCATCAGTTATAATTAACATATTTCTGAATTATTATATAATAGTTGAGCAGATGAATTGTAAAACATCATTTTGTAAGTGTAACATGCCAATAAATGCTTTACATGCAGAGAAAACAGTATATGAATGTTTAAAAGTTAAGATATTATAAGACAATAATTGTTATGTAATATTTGATAACTGAGAAGTTCAAAATAAAATTAGCCACACATTTTTAAGTCTGTATATTTAATTATGATGCAGTTGAATGTTTATAAATGTATTATGTCTATGCAATATGTAAATTACTAAATTATTATTGTTTTTTTTACAGTTTGACCAGATGATGAAAATAGTAGAGGTATTAGGCATGCCACCAAAAAATATTCTAGATCAAGCTCCGAAAGCAAGAAAGTATTTTGATGTACAACCAGATGGGACCTATGTATGTAAAAAACCTAAAGATGGCAAAAAGGTAAGAACCATAGTGGTAATTGACTGAAAATGAAAATTAGAATGATATAAAATGTGTAATAAATAAAATTGAGAATGGGAATGGGGGATGTGTCAAAGAGACAACAACCCGACCATAGAACAGACAACAGCAGAAGGTCTTTTTTCACTTGCCTCTTTAGGGTATGAGGGAATTAGATGTGATATTCAGGGTGCTCTACCCCTGGCATCTGTTCAGACTTAATAAACAGTGATGTCAAAACACTGTTTGTGGCAGATAAATGACATCTATGGAAAATTGAATTTCAACTTATCTTTGAGAACTCTGACATTTGGCTTTCACTTCAAAACATCTGATGTTTTGTTGCACTTTCATTTCTTACGTGATATCAGCTCTGAAATTTAAAAAAAAGGAAAGCATTATAAGTGCAACTAGTATTTTTATATTTATATAATATGTAGAAGAATTGCGTTTATGTAGGTTGTTAGAAGCTAAATTTTAAAGTAACAGTTTTAAGAAATATTTAGGTTCCCTAGTTGCTGATGAAACTGAATGCAAACTTCAGAGCAAGTGAAAAGTCAGTAAACCACAAAAGCAAAAATAGCTACTTCTCATAAAAGAATGTATAGATCCTTTAAAAAACTTTTTACATTATTTCAGTATAAACATCCTGGAACAAGGAAACTCCATGATATTATTGGTGCTGATTCAGGTGGCCCAGGAGGGAGACGGGCAGGAGAACCGGGTCATACTGTGGCAGACTATTTAAAATTCAAAGATCTCATTTTACGAATGTTAGAATATGATCCAAAGACACGGATAACACCATATTATTCACTCCAACATAATTTTTTCAAGAAGACCACAGATGAAAGTACTAACACGCCAAATTCTGCATCAAACAGTCCTGCGATAGAACAGCAGGGTGTTTCTAGTCCTACAGGTATAGTCAGGGTGAGACAGTACATTTCATTGTTCATGCTGAGGTTCAGGTTGGAAATTAACATTGTATGATTAAAACAAAACTGAAAATGTTGAAAAAAAAGAGTTACAATTTGGTATGGTTTTATCCATTAATGTATTTTTTGCATTGTATAAGAGTTTTATTAACACTGAAACAGCATACACTATTGTGTACTTGTGTTAATTTCACACCTGAGCCTCTTCCTATCCATTGCTGCACCTCATGTTGAAAACCTTTTGCACAAAACTATTTAGCATTTAGATTTATGGGATATAGTTGCAGGAGAGAAAAGTTAGGACAATGTCAATATTTTCAATTGGAAAAGAAAATATTGTACAGCTAATTTTCCCTATTCAAAGTAATTTTGTTCTTTTATATGAAAAAAATCAGTAAATTGAATTACCTTCTCCTTTAATATCAAGCTTCAAAAATTATGATCAGTGAACAGGAAAATGGGAGGAAAAATAAGTTGATGAATTGTAATTTAACTGTAGCATTTTGAATTATGAGTAATTGAAAGCAAGTTATTTTAAGTGCAGCAATAGATATGTTGTACTTTAGCTTTATGTACTACATTACAGTCAACTTTCTTTTTATTTGTTTGTCTTGTTTAAAGTATTTGTTTATAACAGCACATCTTCATTTTAAAACATGATAATCATCTGTTCATACTTTTTTCTTCCTGTTGCTCACATACATGTTCTTGTTCTGTATTTAATCATTTCAGCCTCTTCAGGTTTTAACATGTTTAAGTTGAAAATAGTTAAAATGAATCAATCATTGTAGACTTAAATGAGTTTTGGATAATGATGTATTATTCTTTAGTTTAAGCTTTCTTTACTGTATTTATAACAATAGTTTTATAGGACTTTCCAGAAACACACTTCCGAAAGCCTGGATCTTATTTAAAAATTACAAATGAATACAAATTATTTCCTTTGTTGGGAAGTATATTACTGGTATAAATACTGGTTCACTGCTGTGCAGAGCAACAGTGAAAAGTAAAATAGAAGAAAAAAAAAACGTGTTACTTTAATCTACAAACGTTTCCAGCTTTAGGATTGAGTTTGATAAGTATATTTGAAGGCAAAAGATCATTAATTATTACTACATTTATATAAACCAACTATTAACTATAAATCATAGGGGATTTAAATCTGCTAATCGTTGAAACTTCATTCAACTTTGTTGCCGCAAAACAGTTTTACTTCCAGAGAAAGGAAATAACGTTCCAAATTATAATTTAGAGTAAAATATATGATTCCTGAAATGAGTTTCTGGAGAGGGCTATACTATAAGTTACTCACTGTCAAGCTAACAATTTACTCTTAAGTGATTTTTATTGACAGACAGGTTTTTTCTATACGATCCCCAAAAAATTTACGGTCTTATATTGGTATGACGTTGGCGTTGTCGTTGTGGTCTGAAGACACATTGGTTTTCGCACAATAACTTTAGTTTATGTGAATGGATCTCTTTGAAATTTAAACATAAGATTTATAACCACAAAAGGAAGGTTGGGATTGATTTTGGGGGTTATGGTCCCAACAGTTTAGGAATTAGGGGCCAAAAAGGGGCCCAAATAAGCATTTTTCTAGTTTCATGATAATAACTTGTGGAACAGTGTATGGATCTCTCTGAAATTATACCACAAGTTTCCATACCACAAAGGGATGGTTAGGATTGGCTTTGGGGGGTTATGGCTCAAACCGTTTGGGAATTAGGGGCAAAAAAGTGAGAAAAAACAAGGGTGTCCTGGTTAAAAACAATTACTTGAGTACAAATTACAGTGTAAGGGAGGTAATCCAAAAACTACTTTGAATTACATCCCTTACACTGCTTTTAAATTATGTTCAAAGAATTTTTGTATTGTCTTGAGGTGATTACCTGTCAATTCATTTTTAGAAGTTACTATTTTATTAATTTTAAAAATGCTGATTAAGGTAAATTAATTTTAGCTATGATTATGTATGTCATTTTCTATTTTAAGACTTTTATGATGTATTTAAATGGGTTATTATGGTTGCAAACTCCATTGGAAATTTGAATTGAAATTATGACCATGACTGAGGGAAAGAATTTTTTTTTGGAAAAAGAGGGGGGGGGGACAATTTTTTCTTCTCAAGATTTCAGAAATCAAAAAGAAAATCCTTCAAATTTTTTTTTTTTTTTCTTAAAAAAAGAGGCGGGGAGGTCAATTCGCAACAGCATAGTGTATTGCACAAAAGCAAAAAATTGAACATAAATTCAAATCATATAACCAATTCTAAGTTCTTTGACTACAGTTATTCTGTGTCAGAAACCTATTATGTGTCAAATATTGAATTACAATCCAAATTCAGACCTGTATCAAGCGCGAATATTGTGTCCATTTTTGCCCCAACTGTTCAGGGTTGGACCTCTGCAGTCGTATCCAGCTGTGCTCGGCGAAGCAGTTTATTTACTGCTGAATCTACTTTGTAAGATTATATAAAATATAAAATAGATGCAATAGGTCGAGATATCTGAAAATTTCATAAATTTTGTGCCATTATATTTTATATGTATATTTTCACATTAATACATGGCAGGAAATGTGCAGTAAATGTTAAATAATTTAAAGCATCTATAAAGGGCTGCAAATGATATGATGATTTGTCATTAAAGTGATACAGAAGTGTGACTCTGATTAAAAATAAAATGAAAAGAATATTACTGCAACAGTGAATTTCATGTATGTTGGGAATGGTATATATCCACATTCCTCATATGTTTATAGATTTGATTTGGAAATGTGATTGTATGTTCTAATGCCATATGATATCTCAGTTCAAAGTTAACAAGAATATTAACAAGACATTGTTTTTTCTTTCAGTGAGTTCATCATCAAGTGGTAGAGCCAGGTCTGATCCAACACATCAGCATCGCTCGCATTTGCATGTGCATTCACATTCTGCTCACCATGGTCATGGCGTGCAATATACAACAATGGAATGTGAAAGTCCACAATCAGCATCAGGACAGTCTCGATCACAACCTCCCAATTATCAACAACAGACGAGCTGGAATGAGCGGGATCAACAAAGTGGGAGACATATAACTCATCATCATCAGACAAGACTATCTCCGCCGTCTTTATCAGGGGCGCCTTCATCTCTTGTGCCACGAACAGTTCCAGAACAAAATGTATCTTATACTGAGGGATATGTACAAGGTTCTTATCCAGGGGGAATTCCACCTGTAGACTTCAGGCCAAATCCAGCATCAATAGACTCCTCACAAGTATCATCAGTTAATATGCATGTGGCCGCGGGCTATCCCTCACAGTTTGGACAGTATCAGCAGCCGACATGGACTGCAGGGGGATTCCCCTTTTCATTGTCAAGTAGTGCTAATGCTAGCTTAACAGGCCATGAAACGAACAATCAACATGTACGGACAGCTGCAGAAAGGGGAGATGACTCCCCTATGGTTGGAGTTTGTGTACAACAAAGTCCAGTAGCAAGTCATTGATAGTAACTTAAAATTAGGATTTACAAATTATTTCAACCAGTGGAGCCAAGCTTTGTGTGAATACCTGTGTTCAGATGCGCTTTCACTAAAGAAGGGATCCGTTCACCGCAAATAAATGTGCATACATGTACGTGTTTGTGTTTCGTTGTGAAAGTAATGAATGGAGCGTCTTATTGTTCATTGGTTAATCTGATTAGAGGGTGTTGTCTGAGTGTGAAAGAGATTGGTTGCTGGAATGGCTCACACTGAGAACACTTGTATGTTCCTTCATCATAGGGAACTTTGTCATTTTGGTTTCAGTACTATTGAGCAGTTGCTAAGACATCTTCAATCCATTGTAAAGCAGATAAATATCTGTTATTTTGTGAGATGTCTTATATGGTTCACCTCACCCCTCAACTGTGTGAACCTGAGAGCTTGTGCTAGCCAAGTGAAGGCAAGAAAGAATAGAGAAGAGGTTCATGGGTGCAGTAGTTCCTTATTTTGTGAAAGTTATGGATTTGTATGCTATAGAAGTATGTCAGATTGGAATGTGTTACTTTCGAACTAGGAATTTTGTCCTTCTGGTAACAAATAAATATCCACAAAATATTCAAGTATCAAACACTAGGAAAAGTTTTGTTCATACATTTGAAATCTATGCAAGATCATTAATGTGCAAGCTTTATAATCATTAAATAGAAAGGAAAATAAGTTTTAAGTGCTATCATAATAAATTAGGTTATTATTTTTTTGGTTTAAAAACTATGCAAGAAATAGGTATAGTGGACATACATTGTAAACAAGTCATTTAAAAAAACTAGAATGTAAATACATGATAAACAATATATGAAGCAAATTATGCATGGCCACCCAAAATAAGTGTTTGGTTAATCAGTTGTTTCAATTTTTGAAAGAGACGTGGTTGTGAATCTTTTTTGGGGGAAAATTGCAAAAGCAGTAAGGCTTGTTCCAGAAAAAAAGTATGCTAAGAACGTCACAGCAAAAGTTTCTAAAGCCCCACCACCATGAATTTTTCATCATATACTAATTGCCAAAATTTGATTCAACCACCCATAAAAATTGACCTGCATGTAATTTACCTTCTAAGATAACATTTAATAGAATAACTAAAAAGTCTTACTAAGATCAAGTGTATTTTGATTGACCGAACTACAGAGTTAATAATTTCATCAGTTTTTTGTAGGTACTAATGTTTTGTCAAATCTATATGTAACACTCCTTTCTGTAACACACCATATAAAAAGTGTATTTTAATAAGACCAGAAGTTTTATTTTGCAGAGAAAAATCTTTGAACTACTGTACTAGATCAGATTGTTGTTACTATAATGTAGAGTCATATGGGAGATCTTGGTATATATAAATTGTTGGGCAATCGATAGAGAATTTATTGTGTAAATATATTGTTGATTGGAGTTAAGCCCCTTATGGTGTTAAACACTAGAGGGAGTGATGTTTTATTGTAGACTGTGTACAGAGTATGTAATTGTTATTTATTGAATGAACGATGTGAGAAATTTTTAACCATTCATCTACCTTATATTTTAACAAATGTTTTTAGTTTCCCCAGGTGAAAATTATGGTTAAGAATTTTTAAAGTTGGTTTTAATACACATTTTTACTTAATTTTTTTTTTGGACAACATATGGGGCTCTGCTTATATTAAACTTGTCAGAAGGGTTTCTGTTATTTTATGTAGAGAGATTAATATAGTCAGGGAAATTGTTTTTTTGTAGACAAAAGTTTGTGTCTTCAAATAGAAATGTGTTTTGATTTAAATACAGAAATTTAAATGTTTTGGATTGAGTTTTGAATTTAAATTTCATGTGTATTGCTGTTTGATGCTCATTTTATCATTTAGAACAAAAATAGGGCAGTTGATAGCATTCCAAAACCAACCTTTTAAAGAATCTCATAATACTTTTAGGTTGATTTGTAATACATTTATTAAAATCTATTTTGAAATAACAAAAATTTACAAATTCCAAATTTTTAACGAAATAAATATTTTATGATCTTTATAGTGTTTGATTATTTTTAGGTTTTGTTTGTGTTTTCTCAAATTATTATAATTATAATTGTACATTTATTTTAACATTTCACTTAAATCTGTTCTGAAGAATTGAAACATTTAATCCTGTACTATCAGTTTCAGTATTGTAAAAAAAAGACTTTATATGAGGATTCATGTATTTATGATTAAGGCCTTGAAAAAAAAATATTCATTTTTCTTATGCATGTTTATGAATATTAACTTTAAAAACATGCAGTCGGATAGAAATTTAAAAAAAAAAACTACTGTAACAAATATCATCATTTATCCTGAAAGAAATAAGACAGATAGAATTTTAATTCGTCCAGTAAAAAGTAATCCATAAGACAAATAGAATTCAGAAGAATTTAATTGGTAAAAGTAATTTGAAAAATAGAAATTTTCAAATTTAAAAGTATATTTTTCCTTAATCGTGTTAATTAGAGATGCTGAGCTGAGGAACAGAACATTTAATTTGAATGACTTTTGAGAGTCTAAATTGCATTATGACAGTATTATAGTAAAAACCTATAATAAATTAATAACATTGGTAAGGTTTGTTGTTTTCACTTTCTGATATGGACAACTATTACAGGAATTTATGTTTTTAACTTTATATGATATATATGAATGAATAACAAATCGTTGAAAAGTAATAGGACCTCTAATTTTGGAGAACTTGTTCTTTTCTATTTCTCTCATTGACATTTGCAAATATAAAATGCAGAGTAGTTCATTTATGTTTTCATAAAAGTTTCCTTCCATAGAAGCAAAGAAAGTTAATCATATTAGGGTATTTCTATTCCTTTGAATAATGTTGGTGTGGTGAAATTCTCTCCACTAACTGACGATTGAATTAAGAATAGAGAGAATTGAAGAAATTTAAAAAAAGAAATGTTTTATTTTGTATTGACTAGGGTATCCTTGTCAGTATTAAAGATTGTACACTACCTAACCAGACATGGCAGGTTTTTATGTAATTCTGGTGATTGTTTTTGTCACCAGCAAGGATTTTTAAAAATTGTGCATTAAATGCCAAAAAGGGAGATAATTGCATAAATGTTATTGTTAATAATAGCAAATGTCATTATAATGTAAAAAAAAATCACTGATCATTAAATGTCACTGTAAAATTGAAATGTGTATGTGTTATAGAGATGCCTACGTACGTAATATCACATGTCCTTGTGAAGCTGCATTTTTAAAGCACTTTTGTCTTATATGATGTCCCTGTGGATCAACCATGATGGTACTATAAAAATATGGAGATGTGCTATGATTGCCAATGAGACAACTTTTCACAACTTTCCACCAAAGAACAAAGAAGGTAGAAGAAATTACCAACTATAGGTCACGGTACAGCTTTAAACAATGAGCAAAACCCATACTGCATTGTAAGCTATTTAAGGCCTGACATGACAAATGTAAAACAATTCAAACGAAAAAACTAACAGCCTGATTAATGTACAAAACAAAACAAAAAAACAAATATGATATACAGCAACATCCACTGAATTACAGGTCTCTAATTTGGGACTGGCACATACAGTGCATAGCGGGGTTAAACATGTTTGCATGTGCCAAACCCTCCCCTAACCTGGGACAGTGATGTAACAGCACAACATCAGAAGAAGAGTACACACACTAAAATGTCTCGCCTGCTTTACTGACCATTGATTTTATGTTGAAAGTCTAAAAAAGATAAAGGTTTTACTACAAGTATCGCACAAACTTAAAAGTTTTAAAAGTCCATGACAATGAAATCAAGGTCAGATAAATCCTGTCAGACAGACATGTACACTTTACAATTATTCTATACACCAAATATAGTTGATCTATTGCTTATGGTACTTGAAAAACAGATCAAAACACAAAATCTTACTATTTACTAATGAACCATGAAAATAAGGTCAAGGACAGATGATACCTGTTGGAGATGTGTACACCTTACAATTATTCCAAACACTAAATATAGAGGACCTACTGCTTATACATGTAGTATCTAAGAAACGGACCTAACCACATAACTAAAATTGATCAATGATCCATAAAAAGAGGTGGAGGTCAGGTAAACCCTGTCTGACGGACATGTAGATGTTGGAAGGAACTTGTATACCAAATATAGCTACCCTGTTACTCATAATAAGGGAGAAATTCACATGACGAAAATAATATATTTTTTTCTTCAAATTAGTCGCTGAACCATTAAAATGAGGTCAAGGACAATAGACATATGACAGACAGAAACTTGATAACATAAGGTATCTGCACATCCAGAAACTCTTAACTACTGAAATATTAAGTTTTATACAAATAGTTTTAAGTCCGCCGCAGTAATAGTAATCCCTATGTCTCGCATCATACGACTTTTAGTCACAGGCGAAACAAAAACTAAACTATAAACTGAAAAGGGCTACTATGTGGATTTCCTCGAATACTGGAATGGCTTGCATCCATATCGAGAATTATTCCTAAATTGTGAGGCGACATGGGGGAATTTTACTGACAATTGAGGGTGACGCAAACTTCTTGGTGCTTCTTTGAGCTAAGTAGGGCAAAAATCTCGCTCACTTTGCCTGGTGTGGATCAACCCTGACGGTAGTGATTACGACGTCAGATGATTGATGCAAGCTCCATGAAATCTTTGAGATATTTCGGTCAATATGTCAAATAAAATGGGGAAAAAACAACTTTGCAGACTGAATTTAATACTTGTAGTCAACTTTTTTTTATACGACTGCAAAAAAATTTTGCGGTCGTATATTGGTGACGTTGGCGTTGTCCTCGTCCGAAGACACATTGGTTTTCGCTCAACAACTTTAGTTTAAGTTAATGGATCTCTATGAAATTTTACCATAATGTTCAATATCACAAAAGGAAGGTTGGGATTGATTTTGGGGGTTATGGTACCAACAGTTAAGGAATTAGGGGCCCAAAATAAGTATTTCTAGTTTCCAGACAATAACTTGTGGAACGGTGTATGGATCTCTCTGAAATTATACCAAAAGTTTCCATACCACAAAGGGATGGTTAGGATTTGCTTTGGGGGCTATGGTCTCAAACCGTTTAGGAATTAGGGGGAAAAACAAGGGTGTCCTGGTTAATGGACAAATACTTTAGTACAAAACATAATTTAAAGCAGTGTAAGGGAGGTAATTCAAATACATCATTTGAATTACCTCCCTTACACTGCTTTTAAATTATGTATAAAGTAATGGTTAATGAACAATTAAGACAATTTAAAAGCAGTGTAAGGGAGGTAATCCAAATGCAACGTTTTGATTACCTCCCTTACACTGCTTTTTTAATTATGTTTAAAGAAATGCATATTTATAAAGGAAGACCAGTAAAAATATCTGCAAATGTTGCATCTTTTTTTTTAACAAAAAAATCCATATGAATAATTTGACACCATATTTTAAATTCTATTATAAAATAGATTAAGTTAGCACTATGGTAAATTTAAATGGGTAATTATGGTTGCAAACTCCATTGGAAATTTGAATTGAGATTATGACCATATCTTGAGGGAAAGAAAAAAAAGGGGGGGGGGCAATTTTTTTATTTTTTTTGTGGGGGGAGGGGGGGGGGGTCAATTCGCAACAGCAAAGGTGTATTGCACAAAAGCAAAAAAATTGAATATAAATTCAAATCATATAACCAATTCTAAGTTCTTTGACTGCAGTTATTCTGTGTCAGAAACCTTTTATGTGTCAAATATTTAATTACAATCCAAATCCAGACCTGTATCAAGCGCGAATATTGCGTCCATTTTTGCCCCAACTGTTCAGAGTTGGACCTCTGCGGTCGTATCCAGCTGCGCTCGGAGAAGTAAATTTATTCTATGATGGCTTAACCATGAATTAAATTTCACAGGAAAAATTATATATTTTACATAAGCCAAAGACATGACGCATCACATTGTAAGATTGTGAAACTCACTGCGCTACGGACGCATGACGTTTATAATTGTTGTTTTCAATTTTTACAGCACAGGGTCAATACAGCTGCTGGTGGTCTATCAGTCCCCGAAGGTATCATCAGCTCAGTCGTCTTCAATACATGATTTATGAATTTAGAAATTGACAAGAAACTAAAGTCTCAACCCCCTCAGGCAAAGTTGACCGTAGATGGATTTGGCTATTATATTTAGGTCCTTTTTTTGTCATATAGCTCTTCAACTGTTTTGGTTTTCATACATCCTTGGCTTTCAAACATATGACATTGAGCGCTCCTGGTGTAGAAAAATTCAGAAAAGTGCTCCCGGCGCATGAAATTTACAAAGAGTTTTTTGTCAGTTATTGCCATCACTTGTTATCCATCATGGGTTGTTTGTAAACTTTTTATAAAATGTTCATGTCCTTCAATTAAGAAGGCCAATTTGAACCAAGATTGCTATGGATAATATGAAGGTCATTACTGAACGAAAGCAGCCAACATAGAATATCTCTGGCAAGAATATTTAAATTTTCAAGCACAAATATTGTCACAATTTATAGATTGATGATTTTTAAGAGATCGTTTAAAAGAATCTTTATTTTGTACTAATTTGGTGACAGTAATGATGCAACATAGGCTCCCATTGACCCCAATTGTAAATAATTATACCCCTAGTGTAGAGTAGGGCTATATTACAATTCTCTTGCTCGTGCACTCAAAGGGTATTTTATCACACTCAGTTACTTTTCAACAGAAGGACATCATATTTAATCAGCAGCTTGCATGGCAGTAATGAGTTGTAAAGTCAGACACGTCCTTGTAGTATTGCCTTTTGCAGATACATAGAATTTTTCAATATGTTGATTGTGGGATGAGATGTAACATGCGAGAGCTTTTCAGATTTGTCAGATTGCACGATTCCTGTTTCTGATACTACGAATCACGTACAGTGTATACTTAGCACAACACCATGCTCTCTGAGATAACTTCTTACACATGTTACACAGTCCATGCTCTCTGAGATAACTTCTTACACATGTTACACAGTCCATGCTCTCTTGAGATAACTTCTTACACATGTTGCACAGTCCATGCTCTCTGAGATAACTTCTTACACATGTTACACAGTCCATGCTCTCTGAGATAACTTCTTACACATGTTACACAGTCCATGCTCTCTTGAGATAACTTCTTACACATGTTGCACAGTCCATGCTCTCTGAGATAACTTCTTACACATGTTACACAGTCCATGCTCTCTTGAGATAACTTCTTACACATGTTGCACAGTCCATGCTCTCTGAGATAACTTCTTACACATGTTACACAGTCCATGCTCTCTGAGATAACTTCTTACACATGTTACACAGTCCATGCTCTCTGAGATAACTTCTTACACATGTTACACAGTCCATGCTCTCTTGAGATAACTTCTTACACATGTTACACAGTCCATGCTCTCTGAGATAACTTCTTACACATGTTACACAGTCCATGCTCTCTGAGATAACTTCTTACACATGTTACACAGTCCATGCTCTCTTGAGATAACATGGCTGATCTGTACCAAAATTTGCTGGAATGATAAACGAGTTTTCCCTAAAAGTTCTGAATTTTATTCTCTTTGGACAAAAATTATGGTCATCAGAAGCAATCATTCTTTATGCTTATGTAATAAAAAGTCCAAAACTTTATAGGAAAGATGAATAGGAGACTTTCTACAAAGCTTGAGATTTTTATTGGTTGTGAAAGGGCTGCATACATGGCAGCAATGATGGTTCCAACTGAATTGTATGGATTATCATCTTTTCATCTTGACCCTTATCTAGCCACTCTGTATTGAACTAGGTAGTAATAATACATGTAGTTCATAAACTTCTGTGAGGCATAGCCAAAGAAAATGGCAGAAGGGTTAAACAAAAATAATAAGTACATTTAAAAAAATTAAATGAGTTAAGGTTTGGAGAAAAACAGATTAACCCTTATTGAGTTGGAAATGAAATCAAACCGAACATGACTGTTGTTCAGAAGATAATTGCTATAATTGCTAAGTGTTTTTATGCCCTGGTGAAATGTCAAATATGGCTCCAAGGGGTAAAATTTCAACGATCCGCACTTATCATGACCAGTGAATCAATTGGATGTAACTTTGACAAAGTTGTTCCTTTGACGGTACTTCACAAGTTATGATGCTATCCAGAATGAAAACGTTGACCTTAAGGAAATTCAAAAGGGTCATCAGCGGAAGCCAAATGCTACATACATTGAAACACATTGGGAAGTTAACCTTGATTTCATCTATTTGCATTTATTTGCAATGCAAATAGATGGAAAGAAATCAAATCAAACCAAGTATGATTTTTTTTAGAAGTTATGTTACTTAAATCATGATTAAATCTTTTGCGGTTCCAAGGGCCAAAAGGGAAATGACTAGTCCAAATTTCAAAGATCTAAAAAAAAAAAAAAAAACAGACAATCTGTTCAAATAAAACGTTACGGATATACATGTACTAGTAAATCCGAATGATCTCAAAGTTTACATTGAAGCACAATGGAAAATATAAGATTTTTTTCCCATTTTCAAGAACAGATGAAGTAAAATGAAATAAAACCCAAAAATCAAATCTAGAATGCCAGATCCTTTCTTTAATACTAGTCTATGCAGTAGAAACATCAACAATGTGTGCAACTGTAATCTATCATTTACGGAAACTCAACCATAAATGAATTGGCCAAACGAATATACATATCCTTGTTGCCGGACTCTTTGAAGATGATAGAGTAGGTATGTAAGTTAAATATATTGTTTTACGGGGAAATTTTTGGACTGAAACGGTGTTTAACCTTTAACAGTTTTTTACCAAAAATGTACATGAATAGCCAAGAGTTTAAGGGTAGGGAGGCAGGAAACTGAACTATATTTTTCTTCGCGTAAGCCTACTTAAAAAATTCGACTTCAAAGTTAGGTGACTATCTTCACCCGTATACTAGTATCCCATTAAATTCTAAATAATGGATACCAGTTGTATCTGATCCACACCATAGAAATTCACATCAGGAATCAATACTTTACGACAAAAAGATGACTTATCTTTCTCATAGTGACCTTACCATATTCATGTAGCACTATATTCCAGCAGCACCTTCATATCTCGCAGTTTGCATTTCCTATCAAAATTTCATTGAGAGAGGGTCGCTGCACACACGGAAGCTACTGAATATAGGGTCACCTTTTTAAATAAGCAATCACACAAGCAATATAGCTGTATACATGCTGTTTTTCAACAACAAACAAATCTCTACACCACATATTCAAGCTCCAAAAGTCTAGACAAGTTTTTAATGCACAAACAGTGACGTATCATAGATCAATAGTTTAAATGGGTAAACATTTTAGACAACAAAACGGTCTTCGACAATATAAAAGTAAGTGTCTATATAATATGTCAAACTATGAATCGTCGTATGTCTCACAGCAAATATAGAGTGATAAATCATGGTTTGTTCTTTACGTTCTATGTCCAGGTGATGTTTGAGGGTATGCTTCAGCCTATTTAATCGAAAGGAGTATAGATGTAATATTTGCCATATTTGCCATACATAGGTCATAAAATAAACACAATTTAAGAATTCATATACAATGTATACAACAGGGAAGATGTTTCTTGCAAAAGATGCCTTAGGTTTAGCTACACAAAAAAACAAAAAAAAAACAAACTGAGAATGGATAATGGGCAATCTGTGCCACATATCTGCTTTATGTGCTATAAATTGTAACATCGTTGTTGTATCTCGAGATGCCTCTTTACGAATAAATATCGATGCATTTGATTTCAGTTGGGTAACAACTCTAATAAAAAAATGTTCATATGTGTATGACAGATACCATTACGTAAAAAAACAATTAGGTCGTTTGCCGAGAAACCTCTATTTGACGCTATTTATCATTACATTTTGCATCCAATAAGTGTGATATCCCACCATATAATGCAATCATTTGGTTATTGATAATACTTACAACTAAAAGAGTCATTTCTTCCCCATCACACGTTAATTTCTTGTTCAAATTTAGGTATAATATTCAATATTGTCACTTACTATACTAGTATATTAAATAATGACAATGAGGTTTTCACTAGGAAGCTGCGCGAAGAATCCTCGTTACTATGCTACCCGATCATTGGGAAGAAACCCTGTCACTACGTCACGTATGGTACCAAATCAGTGGGAAGAAACCCTGTCACTATGTCACGTATGCTACCCAATCAGTGGGAAGAACCTTGCCACTGCGCCACGTAATTGTACCCAGCAGTGGTAAGAACTCCTGTCACTATGTCACGTATGCTACCTAATCAGCAGAAAGAATCACTTAGACTACCCAATCAATGGGAAGAAACCCTGCCGCTACGGCACGTATGCTACCGAATCAGTGGAAAGAAACTATGTTACTATGTCAAATATGCTACGTATTACTATGTGTTTCTTTATCATACATTGGCTAGAGGTATAGGGGGAGGGTTGAGATCTCACAAAACATGTTTAACCCCGCCGCATTTTTGCGCCGGTCCCAAGTCAGGAGCCTCTGGCCTTTGTTAGTCTAGTATGTTTTTTAATTTTAGTTCATTTATATGTTTTGGAGCTTAGTGTGACGTCCATTTTCACTGAACTAGCACACAATTTTATTTAGGGGCCAGCTGAGGACCACCTCCGGGTGCGGGATTTTCTCGCTGCATTGAAGACCCATTGGTGGCTTTCGGCTGTTGTCTGCTCTTTGGTCGGGTTGTTGTCTCTTTGACATATTCCCCATTTCCATTCTCAATTTTACCAAATAATCGGGAAGAAACCCTGTCACTATGTCACTACGCCTTGTATGATACCCAATCATTGGTAAGAATCCGTGTCACTACGTCACGTATGCTACCTTATCAGCGGGAAGAATCCGTCACAACGTCACGTTTTCTACCCAATCAATGGGAATAATCCCTATCACTATGTCACATATGCTGCCAAATTAATAGGAAGAAACGCTGTCACTACGTCACGTATGCTACCCAACTAATGAGAAAAATCCCTGTCACTATGCCACGTATGCTACTCAATTAATGGGAATAATTCCTGTCACTATGTCACGTATGCTACCGAATCAGTTGTAAGAACTCCTGTCACTATGTCACGTATGCTATCCAATCAGTGATTAGAACTCCTGTCACTATGTCACGTATGCTACCCAATCAGTGGGAAGAACCTTGCCACTACGCCACGTATTGTACCCAATCAGTAGTAAGAACTCCTGTCATTTTGTCACGCATGCTACCCAATCAGCAGGAAGAATCACTGTCAATACGTCACGTATGCTACCCAATCAATGGAAAGATACCCTGCCACTACGGCACGTATGCTATCGAATCAGTGGAAAGAAACTCTGTCACTATGTCAAATATGCTACCAAAAAATCGGGTAGAAACCCTGTCACTATGTCACGTATGCTTCCCAATCAGTGGGAAGAACATTGTCACTACGCCTTGTATGATACCCAATCAATGGTAAAAATACCTGTCACTACGTCACGTATGCTACCTTATCAGCAGGAAAAATCAGTCACAACGTCACGTTTTCTACCCAATCAATGGGAATAATCCCTAACACTATGTCACGTATGCTACTAAATTAATGAGAAGAAACGCTGTCACTGCGTCACCTATGCTACCCAACTAATGAGAAGAATCCCTGTCACTAAGCCACGTATGCTACTCAATAAATGAGAATAATTCCTGTCACTATGTCAGGTTTACTACCCAATCAATGAGAAGAATCACTGTCATTTACGTCACGTATGCTACCCAATTAATGAGGAGAACCCTATCACTATGTTACCTATGCTACCCAATCAACATTAGAGAATGTGTTTTCCTCTTTACCATCTCTTACTTTTGAACTAGAGTATTTGTATGAAATTTTTTTGTAACACAGACAAGTATTTTATACAGTGCAGAAATGCACATTTACGCGCAAATCTTATAATAAAAGTCACAAATTAATCACAAAGTCTGAATCACAACATTACTCAAAATAAATTTTTAAATCATGACAAAAATAACAACAATAATAAGTATAATTTAAACAAAATAACTGATTGAAAGGCATAGAGTATTTTTTACATTGAACATTTAAGATTTTTGTACTTTTATAAGTTTTAATTAAACATCATAAACATTATAAGGTATATTGTTTTCTATAACACATACACAAATTTTATGAACATCGAAAATCGGTTTCAGTGATACACATACTGAAATAAAAAGTGTGATAATCACTTTTGTAGATTTCATCAATCAGCCTTGTTTTTCGTAGTGTTTTTGTTTTCGTCAGTCAAACCAATCGCCTTTACTGCCTCAACGATTGGACCATTTCCATCAAATGCACTTGGATTTCTAAAAGTCTTTCCAATTCTGTCCCACAATGTAAAAAATTGTCCATAATTGAAATTATAAAACAGATGATGATCTGTATGGTGTGCAGAACCATTGACTATGGGCTTGAACGTGTCTGGAACTCGATAGTATCCATCATGTATTGATACGGTCCAAAAGTTCACAAAAACAAATAGTCCAAGATATGTAAACTTGTGCAGTGGAAACAAAAATGGATATATATGATATGGACAACTTTGTAGAAATCCGTCCACAGGATGGAAAGCGTGACTTGCAAATGGTGTTGGAACTTTCCATATGTGGTGAGGTTTATGTATGTATTTGTAGACCTGTTTGTGGTGCAGTCCTCTGTGTATCCAGTATATACACATATCTGTGAACAGTATAAACGTTGCAACACTGAGGATAATCCCGAACCAACCTGAAAAGATGATGAACAAATCTATTTATAAATTATTATTTTCATATGAGTAAAAAGTAAAATCACAAAAATACTGAACTCCGAGGAAAATTCAAAAAGGAAAGTCTCTAATCAAATGGCAAAATCAAAAGCTCAAACACATCAAACGAATGGATAACAACTGTCATATTCCTGACTTGGTACAGGCATTTTCTTATGTAGAAAATGGTGGATTAAACCTGGTTTTAAAGCTAGCTAAACCTCTCACTTGTATGACAGTCGCATCAAATTCCATACAAAAAGCATACTTGTACACTGATTAATCGACCTGTAGACATGGTAGAACAGTTTTAATATAAAATTACAAAGACTAAAAAAAAGTCTTGCATTCCCAAATGTATTAATAAGCATAAAGTGACTACCGATAATCATAAAATCTCAAAAGTAATTGAAATCATAAGTTATATACCAACCCAGTCTGGTGTCGCCAACATTATCATACAGCTTGCTATATCCTCTAACTTCTAGGAAAAAAATACTGATTGTAGGTGCACTCATTACAGGAATTGATTGACATGTGTAAATAATTTCTCGCCGGATTTGGTTCTAAAATTGAAAGAAAAAAAACGACATGAATTGTATGATAATAAACAATTATTTCCGAATTCGAGACCAACATGATTAATGCTATTCTAAAACATAAACAAAATGATATTACATATATAGTCGCTTTTCGTTACTTTTATTTTTACAGTTAATATAAAAATAAGGAGATGTGGTAAGATTGCCAATGGGACAACTCTCCACCAGAGACCAAATGACGTAAGTACTTCCCAAGTCGGGTTATCAAAACATTTTGAAATTATTTTAATGGCCAAGGAAAAACTAGTCAGGGCCGTAACTAGGCATCGAAAACAGACGAGGCAGGGGTTTGGGGGCCGCCAAGTGAGGCCCCCAGGTAAACAGGGAGGTTACCCGAAAATTGTAATAATAGGGTCCGAAATAAAACTTTGTTACATCCGTTTTTGTTTCATATTGACCGTATGAAGAACTGCATTAGGCTATCAGAGCCGGCTGACAGATACTTGCCTTGAATTTTGTTCCATCAAACATGTATCAATTTACAGTAAAATACATGTTTGATAGTAGAAAAAGCGGGACAAGTGTGTGTGGTAAACGCTTCATTAAAAATAACACATATTTTAATAACACTTTAATAAAGCCCAAAGATTGGAACCTATAGTCATGATAGTCACTGTAGGTGAATGCTAGTTCGACCTTTTTTGTGCCACTAAGATCCCATCGTTTGAGAACAGCTTCTGCGTTCATTTGCCCGACATTGTCCGTACCAAGGGTTTGTATAGTCTCACTATACAAATCCTTGTCCGTACAATTGACATGAAGCATGGCTAATTCACATAATCTGTCCTCGGTCATTGTTGACCTGCACAATGTCTTTAAAAAACGCCGAAGGGCAGAAAAAGATCTCTCACATTAGCAAAAACTGACTTGAAATGTCAATAGTAGCTTCTCCTGGGAAACCAAAATCTCTGACGTTCGAACTCGTTCAAGAGACTTTTTAGCGGGAAATAAATAATTGCAGAACCAAATGCCGGTTTACAGGCGAATGGCGATGGTAATCAGGCAGAGAGTTCGATACCTAACGTGTTGAAATAAAAGTACAGAAGCTGCACGTCAACATTAATTACTATTCGAAGTATGCATTTCTTAATTCTTGATATGAAAATGCAAGGATGTTTTCTACACCTGCATGCCTAGCTTTCTCCATTTTCTTTTTTTCTTCTTATTCTTTTGCCAGAAAACCAGACGAGGCAATCGCCTCGCCTGCCTCATCGGTAGTTATGGTCCTGCTAGTAATGCACTACAAGAATGCAGTAGCATGATGCCACCCCTAAGAAGAAAAACCTTTAAGCGAATATTGACGGTATAACAAGAGTGCACTTGACTATATAACTTGTGAATACTTGACTTCCACGTTACATATATATACACGTCGCAGTAAAATAGTTTACAATTTTTTTATTTAATTTTTTTTTGGGGGCGATGATTTCGGAATTTCGTACGTGTTGAGTTTTGTTTCAAGTTTAGTACGATAATCTAATCTTTATTCATGTTTCAACTGTTGTCATTATATATATCAGTCGGTTAAAGAGCTCTAAAGAGCTCATGTTCTATGTTTGATTGTATTTATGAAATCCCAACTTTAAATAAAGATTACTTTACTTTACTTTTACTAACCACTTTTAATTTTCTTTATATCTTGCTTATTTCTCATCTATTTTAATTCGATAAATGCTTTTGTATTTAGTATTGTTAATTATTATCTATGTGGTATATTTTCTATAATCCGTTAACTGTATATGTCACTTGATTTAGAGAAATATTTGTCCAGTCTTGACAGGTAACTTTTCGGTTTATATAAACTGTTTTGACATTTCGTAACATCAGATTGGATTTAATATTACACTGAGCTCCATGCAGAAATTATTAAAGTATATAACGCGGAAACCAGCGTTATCATTTTGTTGCAAGAGTTAGTTCTCAGAATGAGGGTCAGCTGCGGTTCTATCGTAATTGTATATATTGTCCCAGTGTGTGCGACATGTCTTTGGTTTACTTGCAATAAATTGTATGTATCAATTATTAAGCAGCTGAGCTAGGAAGGTTTGTGTGTATGTTCCCATCATTTCATGGCGTCAACTCAAGGGTGCCGGAAGCGGATTTATTTCCATGAATTCATTTCATAAACATTTATCTAAGATTATGTAAGGAAACATATCTTCCAAAACTGCAATGTTATGTAAGCCAATAAAGCAATGTCAATATCTAGACTCTTAAGGTCACAATGAGATTTATATTAAAAAATTACATTTTACAGTGAAATTTTAAGGAAAATTGGGTCAAATTGTTGCTGCTTCGTATTTCAATTTATATGTGATATAACTATCCCATGCCTACCAACAAAGATTAGAAAATTTCGGACACAAAGATGTTATTGTACAACGTGCATGTATACCTTTAGTATAAGTGGGTGCTTGAGCAGTCGTTTATCAAACAGAAACCAGTAACTCAGCGTAGCCAGAATGAAGTACAGCACATATCCACCAATATTTGTCACCAGGAATAAACTCAAAATCTGTCGAAAAGGGTTGTCCTCTGACCATGATGTTGGATACACGTAGGGGGTTAGCACATACTCATCGGCGTAATTCAATACTACATCCATGGCCTTTCAATAATAAATCTACAAAGATAAATAAGTCACGTGCAAATAAAGGAAGCACCTTGCAATAATAGTGTTCTGTAATATATTTCAACACCCAAAAGTACAATCAAAATACTTATTTATAATTTTTACATTTTTCTTCGTGCTGACCTACGTCTAGCTCCAACCGACGATGTTCGCTCTCTGACTAATGCGTCTTTGGATAGATTTCGTCATAAATATATTGATCAAGATATTCACATACTATGTTGTATAAGTTTAAAGCAGCAGCAGGGAAAGAAGATTTTATCCTCTGCGGGAGGATTTTAATCTGTGATAACCAAATAAGGAAACACAATATAGATAAATGCAAAAGTCCTATCCATTTATGATCATTTATTAGTATTTGATATTTTAACCATAGGTGCTCTTGTATACATACTTTCCATGTTGTATTTGTTATTGTTTGCCCTAAATAAATAGTTTTCTATTTCTATTCCACAATTATGTTGGTTTTTTTACGTAGTTTTGTATACAAATTATGCATGAAAAGTAAAATCAGGGATTGTAACTGAGTTAATAAATTCACTCTAAACTATAAGTTAAACTCTTAAAAGATACATACCAGGCCACCGTTTCACAAAGCCTTCTTAACTTACGATCATCGTATCATTTTACGATCCGTTTTCGTGTGGTTAAACGTTCCCGTTACGTGTGTTTCACAAAGGCATCGTAAAGGACTACTAAGTTGATCGCAAGTTACGCACTGTGTATCATCGTAAGAGTATCGTAAAACGGAACTCTGTATGTAAACAGGAGGTGTAAATCGTAGTTTATTTACATCGGAATATGGCACTCTCTTCTTTCACAGATCGATTAGTCGAGCATGCCGATGAGAGCGGACGTGAAAATGTTTGCAGAGAGAATCCTTCAACATCATTGAAATTGTTTTGCCAAATTGGTTTCATGGATAAATATTATTATCCTTACATCTTATATTTTATGTTTTGGATTATATTTTTTTTGTTGAGGAAAGTTTCTGCAGATATTTTCAGGTTTGTTTGAGACATGTGGTCAGATGGGACCCATTAGTAATTTCCATGTGGGAAACTATCAGACCAATCTATTTGATGTCTGAGGGTTTTAGCTGTTGTTCCCCTAATGGATCGGTAGTTTCTTTCCGAGATGCTTTATCGTAGGATTTTCGGCTTTCCTCTATCAGGAATACAGCTGGGCATTTAGCGGTACCGGTTTGGAATCCAAGCCTTGTATCTTTGATGGGTTACTTCCTTTGATATTTAATAATACTTTTTTCTTTGTATCGGAAATTTGAAATAATAGGAGAGTGACGAGACGTGTTTATATCTGATCAAAGGATTAAACGAATTTTTCAACAATTATTTGATAATGTCTAAAGTTATTATAGTACTGCAATTTTAGAGGAGATATGATTGATTGATTGATTGCTGTTTTCTGAACGTACAGTGGCAAATATTTCATGCAGATTTATGACCAAGAGAAGAATGTTCAAACAAGAAATAAGAAGTTGCATGCGTTGTCGTTGAAAAAGATTTAAACAAAAAAGTCCAATAAAAATAAACAAAACCAGTGTATATAATGTGCGAATCCTGAAATACCATTTTCACTGTATCCGTTATGAATTTCTAATGTAGAATGATAAATAAACAGACGACAAATTCATGATTTTTGAATAGAATAAGAAATAAGATATAATGTGTACTGTTTTTATAAATTCATGATATAGGTATGAGATGCGGACGGGTTTTCATCGCGCCTACAGCCATCCAGGTGTAAAATCGATACACAAATAGATAAATATTAAGAAAAGTTCACGAACAGAGCGTGCAAGAGATTTGAAATCAGCAGTTAAATTTCATTTGCAGAAAAATGTACCTTTTAACATAATTATTAATCTTGTTTAACTTAAAACAGGTTTTGTTATTCAGCTTGTTGATATTGAATTAAATTCCACTATGCTGTTTTCGTTATGCGATTCATGTTTACTGTCGAATAATGATACTAGACTTTCATTTTCACTGTAGGGGCGATTCATTTCTATTGTACATGCGATGCATTTTCACGGAAGGAAAGTAATTAATTTTCATCATATAACGTCTTAATTCAGCCGACTCTCTAAAAAAATTTATGAAGTCAGAAGGATTGATTATATGTGACCCGCCACGACATTTCAGGCTTATGGAGGTAGAACATCATTGTGAGAAAAACGCCGTTAAGTATATGTGACTAGCCACTTCCAGGCTTATGAGGTACATTGTCTAAAATTTGCTTTTTGTATATTTATCTAGAACATTCTGAAGCAAAAAAAAAAAACACTCTGTCATGTTATTATGACCTATTTTTTGTAGTAACAATGAAACGAGTCATTTCGAATACCGACATGATAATGAGACTGTTCGATGACGAATTTTTCATTATCGAAGACACTAATTTATAAAATACAAAATTATTGTATTTTATTGGCGCTTAGTTATCTTCAACAGCGTATTTGAATAAAAATTTCAAACGAATTAAATTTACAACATTACAAACAGTTCTTAGCTCTATTTTAGAAAATGTAATTTAAACTTGTTAAAATGAAGTTAGTATAAAATTTGTCAAAGAAAGCTTTTAGAATTCCTTTTTTTTTTAATTTGTCTTTTAACTTAGATTTATGATGCATGTCTCTATGCATAGTATGCGACGCGTAGCAGTTTATAAGTAGTTGTTCTCATATATGCATTTGATACAGTGCATTTATTATGGATATATTTTAGACTCCATTTATGAAAATCTATAGATCAGAGAGTTTTGATTTTTTGTATCAATTTAAAATGTAGATTCAAATATTTATATGTCGTTGATACAGACAAAAAGATCTTATCATGTCAAAATCATGATACAACAGGAAATTTTCATATGCACGGTCTGAACACAAGAATTTACAGAATAAGCATATTTCTTACTGAATAGAGAAAAATTGCCAAAAGAATTACAGAATACAGAAATGTAAACAACCCCCCCCCCCCCCTCCCCCCTAATCCAGACCCTCATATATCATTGTGACGGATAGTTTTGTTCGTTCTATTTAACTGTTTTTTTATTTTCGAAAAGAACATTTGTACAAGGTGTTGTTAATAAATGTAACGGACAATATATACCATGCCCTCTCAGCCGACGTCGTAATTTCATTTTTAATGAAAGAAAGTATTTAAAAGCTTCTCTCCCTGTGCAATATGGTTTATTAAATTTACTATCGTTGTGCAATATGTACTAAACTTTATAAAAATTCAAAATATAGATAATAAAGAAATATAAAAATCTCAGATATAAGTATAACAAGCCACGGGTATATAACTCGAAGTCGTTAGTTTTGCTTTGATACGGTGGGACAAATCAGCGTCATAAAATGGGCGCTTTACTGGAGAACCAGTGAGTAGCGCAAAGCTAACAAAACCTGCGTTTCAGGAATAAGTGCATGGGACCTATTTGTATCATGTTTTATATCTGGTTATATTTCTAATATTATTTCATTGATACTGTGTCTATCCAGTCTGTATCTGGATATAATATCCATTTAATTTTCAAAATGATCAAACGAAGAAAGTGTGGTTCTAATATTGAAGATTCTTCTTCGTCTTCTAACATTTGCGGCATCTTGATCGAGAATAAAGCCATCTTAGATATGGTTTAATTCATATTCGCTGAAAAAGTACGATCGAGATACGACTGGGTATAGCTGTAGTAAGTTACGCCAGGATTTACGTATTATTTACGATCATCTTAACTTACGACAGCTTTGTGAAACGGCTGTAAAACCTACGATTTATTTACGATGAACGTACGATGACACGTAGACTTACGAAGGCTTTGTGAAACGGTACCCAGACGCGCGGTTTTTCTGAAGAGCAGTTGCATGAAGAGCTGAAGAGAAGCCGTTGAAGAGCATTAAATAAAAACCAAAATTCCAAAAAGGTATGCCAAACAAGGCTAATTTAAGGCAATCTAAACCTGGGGGTAAATAAACCTCAGTGTTTCGAATAATTCAACATAAGTAGGACAAGCATGTAGTTTGCTCTTATATTGTGCTATTACACCACTGTCCCGGGTTAGGGGAGGGGCCGGTTAATTGGGCGCCCGCAAACATGTTTAACCCCGCCACATTCTGTGTGTGCCGGTCCCAAGTCAGGAGCCTGTAATTCAGTGGTTGTCGTTTGTTGCTGTTGAAACATACCATATTTGTTTTTCGTTTATTGGTTTGTACATAAGTCAGACCGTTAGTTTTCTCAAGTTGGCGTTTGACTAGTTTTACCTTTATCATTTCGGGGCCTTTTATAGCTTACTGCATGTACTATGCGGTATGGGTTTTGCTCATTGTTGAAGGCGGCATATATTTGTTAACTTCAACGTCATTTGTCTCTGGTGGAAAGTTGTCTCATTGAAAATCATTCCACATCTTCTTATTTTTACATACAGCAGAGTTGAGTATGTGTAACGATTTTGCTACTCAGTGTATTAATAATAAAATAATAAATGAGATTTATTTAGAGTCGGCATGGTTTACAAAACAAAGACATAACAATAGCTCTATTGGGCTTTTAACCAGCAAATCTTTGACTAAAACACATGAACAATCAGTGAGTTACCATGTATGTAGAGGAACAAAACAAACAACAACGAGAGTGACTGCACTTCAATCTATAGGAACTGTTTTATTCCCATCCAGAAAAGAAAACAGAATAACTTACCTTTCAATTTCTTTCTTCACATGAAATATATTTCGCCATTTGTAAACACATTACCTTTGGTTCACATATCCTCTTAAATCAATACAAGGACAAAACGCGTCACGTATTAATAAGTACTTTTGTTCTATGCAAACACAAAAGTTATTTATATCCGCATTACAATTTATAAGTCGACTGATACCCTGTTTGTATAATGAATTGTATAATGAGCAGGCGACGATACATACATTTTTGCTAAGTCAAAGTCTATCCAACGGGTCACTTTTTGTGACGAATATTTCATACGAATGTAGTCTTTTTATAGTAAAGTTTTGAATAGGCAGATACATTTTTTCATTTAACAAGAATAAAAGGATACAGTCAACGAGACATTAACCAAACAACACATTAAGTCTAACAGGTCAGCATAGTTCTTGCAGAATCCAGAACTACAATAAAGTTGATTTTCTTGTGATAAAGCCTGGTAAAAAAACCTCAATAGTTTGTTAACTTCGGTATCTTAATTAGCCGATCAAAAGTAGCTGAATATGTCACAATTTTAAGCTGCATCAGATAAAGTATCTGATAAAGTTGCTGATTATCAGAAGTATCTGAAATTACTGAATCATTTTTAAAGACGTGATTTAAACCAATCGTAAATGGGTCATTATAAAAAAAAACATGCAAAACTATGTTATTTTAGTCTTTTTAAGTCACAGACATGAATATATATCGAAATAACACTTGTATTACTATATGTTAGATATGAATGTTTTGTGATACACTATTTACAGTTTACAGTATGTAATGTTATAAAAACATCCTTAATGTTTTCTTAAACCTTTGGATATAGCCAGAATTAACTGTTATTTTTTACTATAATACCTTTCAGACATAAAATAGGACTATTATTCATATCATTTGTTATTAGGATTTATCACTATTAATTGCATTTTGATACATACAAACAGTTTTTAATGACTTGGGAGGTGTATGTTGGTTTCATAATAAAAATTTTCAACAAAAAGAAGAGTCTCATTTTTTTAAGTCACTGGTGTAACCAAAAGGCAATTGGTTGGGTAAGAGTTATCTTTTTCAAGATTTCAGCATTTACAATAGTTTCTCCCCTAGCCATATTACCTCAGTCCTGTAAGCATGTTATGCAAAAGAAAAAAATAAATCTATGTTAAAAATTTAGTGAAAAAATCTTAAAAGTAAGTAAAAGCTATATCGTAAATGGAAATAGTGTCCATGGTGTACCCTTATAAAAATCATTTTCAGAAAGATTTCCTGAACTTTGATTTATGAAAAGATATTGATTGCAGAAACATGCACCAGGAATAACATATAAAATAGGGGAATGGAACACTTATTTTGTAACTAAATCCAAAAATACACCTGTAAATCAATGGTGTTACTGTCAATGGTGAGACCACTTTAATAAAATAACACCACTGACCAGTTTAGTAACACCACTGAATATATTATGACAATCAGCATTTTTATGTGTTTCTTTCATGTTTAACAAGCGAAAAATCATATTATTTATGAAATATTATACTTATTTAACAATGTTTTAACAATATAATGTATTACATATACAAAGTTTACACAAACTGGTGTATGCTGGTAACACCAATGACACTATTTAGTAACACTATTGACATTTTTAGTTATTGATGTTATGTTATATAATTTGAGATTTTTTAGCCTAAGAATTATTTTTTCTTCTTTTTCTTTTGCTCAGTGTTCTTTGTTTTGTGTTCAGTACTTAAAAAAGTAAAAATTGAAATATGTTGTCAATGGTGATACTTTTGTGTCATTAGAGTTACTGAAGGGTCAGTGGTGTTACTATATAAAAATGCAATATTTTTTATTTTTTATTAACAAATGAAAGTGTTTTTAGGCCGTATACGAAGGATTAGGCATTATCTAATCATTTAATTTTACACATTTTACATATATTCAGTTTAAGTATATTTTTTAATATTTACAACGGCCATAATGAGGACAGCCAACTTATTTACGACAATTTATTCTGAAATATATGTTTAAATAGAATGCATACCTATAAAAATAATGTCATAAGTAGTAATTTACACCTTAACAACAAATTGGAACAGTTGTTTGATATTTAACAATATTTTTTAGTAACTAAATGCATGTTTTATATTGGTAACACCATTGACATGGTTCTATCAGAGGATGACCTAAATTTGTTAAAATTGAAGGAACTCTTCATTTTTCCCATTGCATATTTCTGAATATAGTTGCTACCATATTATAGAATAAGAGGACATATTTAAATTTTCAAAACAATGACATCATTTTCCAAAATTTTTCCTCATCGAAATTTGCATGTTTTTTTTATAATGACCCAAATACATCCGAACAGGGGCGGATCCAGCCATTTTTAATATTCAAAATATATGAAAAGATTAAAAGGGTGGGGTACTGGATATCTCAGCTGCTCTTGGCTTATCAAATTGAAGTATATCGTGTTGTTTAAGGTCTGTATCTGATAAACTTTTTTGACATTGGCCAAGCACAAAGAATATTGATGACAATCTATCGCATTTGCATCTTCGATAGCCAAGATCCACCCCTCCTCTTCAAGAGGGGGTGGTATCATCGTTACCCTTGGTTGCAATGATATCGTATTTGAGGCTGCCTTTTAATTTTTCCTTGTCAAAAAGATACTGCAACACGTGTTTTTTCTCACTCTATCATGCGATTGTCTTCTAGACTCGAAATTTTACCGCGAAAACATTGTCAACTGAGGCGAAGCCAAGGTTGACAATGTCTTTTCGAGGGGTAACAATCTGCTCTATCACCCTCTCAGATATGTGTTATTTAATTTATTATACTGAATGTTCTATTATTACTGTCTATTAAATTTCAAATTCAAAGTAATAAACTATGACGTCTTGTACATAACTACCATCCGTATTTAATAAAGCGCACACTTGATCAAGCGTCTCCGTGAAGGGTAATAGAGTATTTACCATATGATAGAGTAAATTGTCTCCCTCGTATTAACCAATCAAAATCTGGCATTTTGACATGAAGTATAATAAAATATATTGTAAACTAGTCCCAGGTATAACCATAAGTAGCAGCATTATTAAGCAGGTTTGTTTAATGTAATATCAATCAAATAAAACACTTCAATGATATCATTATCTAAAATATTAAATGTTTATAACCTCCCGTTCATGAGACAAAATTCATGACAATCCATCTATGAAATATTGTCTCAATGTACACAAAACACAACCTTAGATAACTTCCCTTTAACAAGACAAAATTTCATTCTATTCATCTATGTAATACTGTCTGTATATGGACACATTTTCATATGGAAATTTGTTCTTCTCTGGACATTATTTCATAGATATTGACATACAAAGTCATGAAATATTGTCTTGTTAAAGGCTTTAAACTTTTCCGCTCAAAAAGAGGGCGTGAGTCAGCAGTAGATTTTGTTAATCAATAGGTTGCTATTTCTCCATTAGACACGTGACAAGATGACAGAGACCAACGCAAACAAAGAAGATCTATGAAAAAAGAACGCCGATCTCGAGTCCACAGTTGTACAGTTGAGAGAAGTTATCGAAATAAACGCTTCAGATGTTGATGACCGATACTAACGCACTAAAACGGACGAAGTGTTAGTATGAAAGATAACCAAGTAAATGTAAGAGAATGATAATCCCTTTCTTCATGATTACGTACGAGCGTTAGCGAGTACATGTCATGAAGAAAGGGATTTTTATTCTCTTACAATCTTAGAATAATGTAAAGTGATCAAGGCTCAAATTGTTTGGCTTTAATCAAGAATTCGTTTCATTGTCAGTGCAATGTTAATCATTAATGCATGACTCCCTTTTAGGCATTTCATTTATGGGTATGTTTAGGTAATGTATGGACTATCAAATAATACGGGAAAGTTTAATAAATTATGTGATAGGCATTAGATGACCCAACAAATACGATGAAATGGTAGGAATTGTTTAAGTTTCCTAATTGTGAGTATGCATGTAATTCAGTGCGAAAGTGTCTTTTTGTTTATTTACAGTTCAAATCAATAAATTGATTATTCTATCTTTTTATAGTAACAACGAAATCGTATTCCACAGACAATATTTAAATCCAACTCTTTACATCAAATACGATTTCAATAAGTAAGGTAACTAACTAGTCTTATATCAAAATATTCAAATAAAATGCCTTTAAAATGAAATTCAAAGGTTCAACTTGATTTGATCCCTATTTGCAAATACTATTCTTACCAACCGTGGATTCAGTAACCTGAAATGTATTGTCAGTGTAATAGCTTTAAGATTTAAATAAAGGCAACAGTAGTATACCGCTGTTCAAAAGTCATAAATCGATTGAGAGAAAACAAATCAGGGTTACAAACTAAAACCGAGGGAAACACATCAACAATAAGAGGATAACAACGGAACAAAAGAGTTTTAAGTTTTTAGTTTAAAGGACTGTTTTCTTTCTTTCCGATTGCATTGCTTTGATATTGTTTATTTTTTATAGCAATTTTATTTATTCAAATTATAACTTTAACGGTACCATTTTTTTACTGCACCTGTAAACTTCAATGTATTTTGATTTTTGTTAATTTAACTATTTACAATTTTTAATCAATTTCAATAATAAAATGTAATCCATTCCAGCCTATAAATGTGCTTCGGGCAGTTGTAACTCATTTATTGAAATTTTATGATTTTAACTTGTAGTAGGCCTAAACAATCCGACAATCACTTACTAAGAACATGATTTACATTCATTCCTCACAATTAAGACGCACTAAATCCTACAAATTCATTGGTGGAGAGCACTTTGCTATATTCTAACTACAGTCAATACAAAAAAGAAAAGGTTGCATTGTACAACAAACCGTTTAACACCTGTAATGCCAATGTAGTCACAATAGTAGATTCGTCAGTTACCACCAATCCAGAAGTTCAGGATAGCTACTATCGACTACTAGCTATATAGGAATATAAACATCGGTCAACCCTCGTTTGTAAAACACCGCCGCCTGGAAAGGGAGTTGTATTTAGTTAACGATACCTTATATATAAAAGCGACAGCAATAACCTATAATTAAAGAGGAAAACACAACTACAAACTTAATGTATATATATTTTTTTTAA